CACCCCATAGGGGCGGTTTATTGGAAGGAATTGCAGGAATGACCACGTCCCCCGGCTCGGTCCCACCGCTGCCGGGAAGCGCTGCTCTTCCCAGCTGGAAAAAAAAAAACCTGTATTTTTTTTTTCCTTTTTTTCCACCTTAAACTTCTCTCCGGAAACCTTCTCGTCGTTTCTCCGTCCGTCTCGTCGCTCCCTCTCCGGAGTCTCCGTCGGGCTGGGGGCGTTGGCCATCGCTGCTCTCCCACCGCTTCGCCAATTAATGTAATTTACTCTTGCGTCTCGCCAACGCTGACGAGAGGGGCCGGGGCGGGTCAGGACTGTGCCAGCACCGCGGCGCGCTGCAGCTGCTCGTAGGAGACGAACATCACGATGTTCCAGGAGCCGAGCCGCAGGAAGGAGGGGACGAACCTGCGCCGGGAAGAGCAGCCGCCGGCGTCGGGATGGCCGGGGAGCGCCGGGCGATGCCGCGGGGTGAAGCGCGGCGTCGGTGTCAGCGCGACGTCCCCCAGCTCACCCCTTGTAGAAGCCGGCGAGGCCGTCCTGCATCAGCAGGGCGAGGAGGCAGCTGAGCACGTTGCGGTACTGCCCGGGGCCGGCGTTCATGTACCGCGTCTTCACCACGTCCACCGGCGACGCCACCAGCGTGGCGCAGAAGCCGGCGCCGAAGGCGGCCACGAAATGGCAGGGGGGGGTGTCTGCAGGGCAGAGCTGAGCGTGACTTCTCAAGTAATCTGACAGTGATAGCTTAGTTAAACATACAGTACACTTGGGAGATAAAGGAGATCTTTCTCAAAAAATTTAGTTGTTACTTATGCAATCTATTTCATAAAGAGTTCTCTCAAGGTGGGTATGAGCCACCTTTTTACAGACAGAATAGGCTCTTCCACCAATACGCATGCAATGATTGAACAACCATGCAAAATGTACTTCACACTCCGTCCCTACCTCGCCACAGCCCGCGGACGCCCTCCTCCCTGGCGATGGTGCAGTAGGCGTCCACCGTCCCGCTGTACCGCCGGGCGCCCGCCGGCAGCGCCCCGTTGGCCTGGAACCGAAACTTGCACACGTAGGTGGGTTGGCC